CCCCAAAACCCCAAAACCCCAAAACCCCAAATTTTTTTGATTTTTGAAAAAATATTTTTTGGAGATGGATTTTAGAGCTTTTGATTTTAATAGGGATAGTTATCAGCCGAGTGGGTTTAGTACGGAGGGGCTTGCTGAGGAGTTTGTGAATTTGGGAGACTCTGAGCCTATTAAAATTAATCTCAAGAATAGCTACTGCAAATTCACTGGTAAAGTTCTCCGTTAATTCTTCATAGAGGAAGAAAAAATGATGATTGTCAATAGTCTCAATGAAAACACAAAGAAAGGACTTAAGAAAGGAAAGAGGTTCAATAAGATAGATGCTGATTTTCTCACCAAAAACGCACTCTTTTTCAAATAAGTTTGAAAAGAACAGAAGGAAACTGAAAATACAAAATACTAAAGACTTTGACAAAGTCCTCTCTTCCTCTTATACAAGTAAAAATCTGAAGGGCTTCAATGAATATATTGGAAATCGAATTTTGAATTCCCAGCTTGAAAGAAGGAAGTTCCTTCAGAAGAAACTCTCAGGCAAAATCTCTCCAAAAATGATATAAAATCTATAATAAATCAACAGAAAAATAAGGAAGTTTCCAATGAGAAGACCACTCTTGGTCCTCACAGTAAGATTCCTGCCTAATTATAGCAACTGAGGACTTTAGCATGATGAAGCCAGTCACAGAGATTAAGAACATTGGAGATGCTAATGAATGCAAACCAGGAACTTCAACTGCAAATTCTGATTTATGGAAGTATAAAAACTTTAAATTTCCAAGTCCTTTTTCAGAAGGATGCAATAAGGTTATTTCTTTCAACATAAATAAGAAGAGCAAGAAGAGAGATATCTCCGCAGATGATATCTATGAGATCTTTGGGATTCAACCTAAACAGTCTCAAGACTCTTTCTTTAACAAGATAAAGGTATCCCAGAGTGCAATTATTGATGACTCAGGGATGTTGTCAAAAAGGCTTTATAGAAATTGGAAAACTCCTATTTCTAGGCCAAATTTGGAGCATAATTGAACCAATGATGAGAGAAGTGAATCGAAGATGTCTCATAGTGTAATTCAGAGACGAAGAGATCTCAGTTTTACTCAAGATAGATTTATAAACAGAGCTGATCAGGAGGTAGAGCAAGCAATGAAAATGCCGCATCTCAAAGCTTCTACAAGTAAGAAGATAAGACAATGAAAATCTGTTACAAAAGGTTCTTTGAACAGGGTTAGATCTAAACTAAATGGCAGTTGTCGTTCAAAAGGAACTAATGGCAAGAAAAGAGATAGTTTACAAAGACATCACTGAGATAAAATCTTTCATCGCCTCAAGAGATGCAATATTTTTCAAGGAAGATGAATCTCTCCAATGGAGGCTAGAGCTATTTACCTACGAGATAAGATCAAAAGTAAGGAAGAGGAAGCTAAAACTCCGACTCATGGTATTTTTAACAGCTCTCCAAATTCACCAATAAAGGCGACTAGTTCTAGTCCTTTCATTAATGCTCTCAACTAATATATTTCTGTGATCAATATCTATTCATAAATAGGGGTTTTGGGGTTTTGGGGTTTTGGGGAG